ACAGATAAAAGAACAGTCTTTTGAGTCTTTTTTAAAAGTATTATAACAGGTTCTCCCTATAGGCCATGAGTATTTATTTTCCCAGGTGAACCTTCTAGCTTCGCAAAATATAACAAACTAGAGGGGGAACATCATTGTTATTACTTGGCTAGAAATGATGACACTGATGTGGATTAAAGCAAAAAAAAAAAAAAAAACAGTGGCAATCCTTTAAGGAACCAGAGAATCCATTTGAAATACAGAATCAGGTGTAAACCTTTTTTTTTTTTTTTTTTTTTTAAAAAAAGGCTTTATTCTTGGACTGATTATTCTCATCCTTTCTGGCATTTTATAAAAATGGATTTTATTGTGGGTTGGAAGAGCTGGGGCTCTTCCTTGTGCATTCTGAGGCAGAGATTGCAGCTGGAATACTGTTCCTCACATTTATTCTTAAAAGAAAACCAGGTGTTTCACAGGATCTGAAATCTGATGCAGATATTTCAGTCCACCCAGTTTATCTCATGTTCGACCATCTTTGCAGCTGGTGGTTGGGTGCTGGCTTGCGTGAGGTGGGTTGGTGGTGACAAGGATGGATGTTCCTTGGGTGCAGGTGTTTGTGGTGTTGCATCTCCTTAACAGAAAACTGCCGCCCTCTAAACGACAGTCTTGGTTGAAGGGCCAGCACTAAACAAGGCTGAATAACCTTTTATATGCAAAGGTGTCTGCAGCATCAAGGAAGGGAAAATGAAGACTGTTACTACAGATATTTTGGTAGGGATGAAGAAGAGTGGGAAATGAAATAAAGCTTCAGATGTTAGTTTCTTTCTAAAATATTTATTGTATATGTGTTTTAAGGTCTCTTACTCTTTTAAAAGTGACTTAAGTCCTTAACTACCTCAGAGTATTTTTTGTCGTCGTTGTTGTTTTGTTTTTTTCCTTTGTACTAAGCCTGAGCTTTTTGTTATGGGAACTGATATGGGTAATTGCTATCCAGCTGTGTGAATACCCAGTGGCAGACTGATCTCTCAGTACATGCATTTCTGCAAGAAGCGGGAAAACTCTATGATTTATTTTATTTGCTTTTGGTTGTTACGAAAGAAAAAACAAGTAGGCTTGTATCATGAAGCTTTCCTTTGATGCCATAGAGAATTGAAGCTTTTTTTTAATATGAAACCTGAGATTTTCATAGAATTGCTTGATGCCGGAAATCAGAGCTTGTAAGGAAATATCAAATAATGGGAAGCTCATGCTCTAAACCATGAGAGTTTGGCGACATTGAGGGCAGCGTGTGTTGATCATCTTAAAGCAGTGCTATGATCCCTTTCTAATGGTTTGCTGAAATCTGATCAGTTAATTAACTATACAGAGCAATCTTTCTATGTCTGAATCATGTATGTATTGCGTAGCAGAAATCATGACCGACCTGACCTCTGTTTGTCGTGGGAGATCTTGGTATGTTCAGAGGTTTGAAATACACTTCAAAATCCGCCTATTCACCTTGCTCTAGCATATGGTGTGGTATTGTGTACCTTTTTTTGCAAGTGGAGAATCACTGTATGAGAAGGATCCTGACATTTCAGAACTGCCCACACCTGCCATTTTTCAGTTCTACTAACCATTCAACTGCAATAATGTTGCTTTATTTATTTATTTATTTGCTCAGCAGCTTTATTACGATGATGAAACTGGATTGCACTCCTTCAGGATTGTATCAATGCCATTGATGATGGTTAGGAGTAGTTGCTGCTTTTTAGGTATGTTGCTTGGCCTTAAAACCTGCTGATGATTTCTTCTGGCAGGATACTTGTTTAGGGCATAAGGGTGTCAAAATCTCTGCTTCAGGGATCATAATGTATGTGATGTCCTTGACATCTTCAAAGGTGCCCCCACTGCATAATACAGAAATGTCTGTCTCTCCGATGGTGGGCTCTTTCAGATTATCACAAGTCTCTGTGTTTAATTGCAGTTGATTGTCACCTATCAGCTGCTCACTGAGGAGGATTTTTTTAATTAATTTTGCTCGATTTGCTATTCTGCACAGCTTTCCTGACAGCTCTTCTGGGCATAGTTTTTAAGCTTTTGCAGTAAATTATGTACCTTCCTTCCCACGGGTTTTTTCTTGGAGTCTGTGTGGTATGTGTGACGTAAATGCACACAACCGAACATGCCTTGCTCCATCCCTTTCTCTTTGAGCTCTGGCCTTATCTGCTCCAACTTGGTAGTGCCCTCAGCTTCTGAAGTGAAAATCCCATTAAGAAACAAAATAATTTAAGTAGTACAGGGTTTGCAACCCTAGGCATATGCCGATCAGCTGGTACTTTTAACTTCTTTACCAACGAATTCTGTCCTCTCTGTTAAAGGGTTCCTACAAACAGGCTGGTGGGGCTGCCACGTGGGATACCAAGTTGCTTCAATGGATTACAGGCTCCTGTTTCGTTGCCAGCTGCCGTAGACCCCTATAAGATTTTGTTCACTTAGAAACAGCAAAGGTGGTTGCTAGGCAAAAATAACCTTCTCTATTTCCACCTGAGGATCAAAAACACAACTGCATGTGTTCTGCCACTTGCGTCACATGAGCACCTGAAGGTTTGACAGTCAAATCATTGCTGACATTTCTGTTGATGTGCAAGAAAGAGAATAGTCAAGTATGTTTTTCCATAGTGTCGCTGTCACTGTGGGATGGACAGTAGTGAAATCTGTGTTCATCCCTGAATAACCAGGTAGCGTGGAAACACGCAAGGCACAGCTACGTATTTTGAATCAGAATGTCTCACTTTTTATAGATATTTTGTGGCTGATTCCTTAGTGCTATTTATACTTTCTGTGAAGTATTTTACAGAAATATGAGTTCCACCCAAACAACCAGAAATGTATTTTACGTATTGCATATGTAAAAGATTAGTCATCACTTACATGTTGACTAGTGGAGGAGGAGGAAATTTATACTGACAGAAGAGAGAAAAGCTTGACTATAAATGCTTTTTTTCTCAACTCTTCTTTCATTATTTTTGGCCAGAAGATAATTATAAAGGATTTTTAAAAATCATCCTAAGAAGAATTGTCTCTGCAGGTTTGAAAAATGGCTAGTTGCATTCTAGAAATTCATTTTTTTCCGCTTGCTTGTGTGTTCTTGAGGAAATCTATGTATCTTTTGTTTCATTTTAACATTGTATGGTCTTCTCATATTTTGTCAACGAAAAATTATGTTGGCATCAGGAACATGAAGTGCAATAGTGTGGGAAGTTCAGTTTACATTTTTATGTATATATATATAAATAAATAAATCTTCAGTAAAGCATGATAAGATTATATCGAGCATCTGTGGCATGACACCAGAAACACTGTTTACTGGATTCTTGGCAAATCTCTCCTCTTACTGAATGTGATACCCTTTGGTTGGTTGGTTTGTTGTCTGATTTTTGTTTTCTTCTGTTTATTTTATGGATAGTTAATTCACAATGTGTAATAACATTGAAGAATCCTGAAATAATTTGTGTCTCAGCTTTGGTATAGCTGTCTATTTCTCACCTTTGAGCTTTTTGATTTTTGCAGTGTTGTATCTCCTGGCTGTTCTTTTTTGAGGTGAAAGTATAATAAACTGTTACCTTCCCACCCCATGCTCCTTTTGAAGTGCGGGAAGACAGGGTAATGGAATATGATTATGAGGAAAGGGGCTAAGTTAGTAGCTTTTTATTTCCTTTTTCCTGGGCTGTGGGCTCTGTGGAATATTGTTGCATGTAGTTGAGATGTAGTCTTCCATATTTTGTTGTTTTTGCTGCTCATCAGTGTTATGTTGTGGCTCCTCTAGGTGCTTTTTCCTCTGTTTCTGAAAACGTCCTGCTAGGTATGCAAAGAGTGAGTGAGAACACGTGCCTTGCATTATTCTGTGAACATTAAGTGGTTGGAGGAGAGGAAATATGTGTATAAATTGCCAGATGGTAGAAGTTTATATAACTGCATGTTCTTTGCCTCCATGTGCCTGGGATTCTGTCGAGAGCAGAAGTTGATGTAATGGAATGTTAAGTTCCATTTCTGGAATACTAACGTTTCAGAATATGAATGCCACAATAATCGCATAATATACAGCGATTGCAACCATGTGTAATTTAAAATGTGCATCAGAAATAAGGAGTCTATTAGCATTAGGTCATTTGCAGCTTTTTTCTTTTTCTTCCAAGCAGAACGATATGTATTTCTTCCTCTTCCCTGTTTTTGTGTATTTGCACAAATTGCCTCAACCTTCATGCACATGTAAGCCTTGAAGAGATGCTTCTTGCTTCTTGTTTAAAGGCAGCTCAGCAGATGGCCATAGTTTGTAAATTGGTCAGATATTCTAAAATGCTCCATTAATGTTGTTGAGTAGTTCTTAATTTATTTGGGTTGCAAGCACAATTATATGAACAGCATACACTCCCTTGCTAAGGCCAAGCTTTCTTTACCTTTGTGCTCTGAACTGTAACCTGGAGATGTCCCTTTTTCTCTACAGTGCCTCAAAAGGAATTATTCTTTCTTCTTGTTTGTTGTGGGATAGGATTTCTTCCTTCTGCTCCTTCTGTCCATGGTCATTTGAACTTTTACTGAGCATATTCAATGAATATCTGAATTTACGGCCATGGTGAAGGAGGTCACTTTGTAAAGGCCCTCACCTAGCTGCTTTTTTTCAATATCATTTGAATACAGAAACTAATTGGAGCTGAAGCTGTACTTAAAAACAGGCAAGTCTTTTTTGCTCCTGACTTCATTGATTTCTGTTGAAGCAAACAGATGAGCTTATATATAAATATGTATGCATGCGTTTTTTTAATGAAAAGTGCTGGAATTCACTAAAAAAGGTTAAAATTGAAGTGAGTAATCTTCAGTGCATAATGCAATTGTTAAATTTAGCTCTGCGTAGGAGCTGTTATGACTTGAACAGCCGGCTCTAGCCTTCATTAGAGAAGAAGCAGGCAGTTTTGAGACAGGTGGAGCAGGATCAAGCTGTGAAAGTGATTTGCTTGAAACTGGTCATTAGCCTTAGAAACCTGGTCCTATCTATTTGCATCCTCAATCCTACTGTGATTATTACTGTTATTACTATTTACTCTTCATCTTTTTCCAGGTTGACAATGATCCATCAAACTCTCTGAAGGACCAGCATGGAGATTGGCATTCTGAACCGTTAATGGGGACATGGGACTCACATTGTCGTTGATCATTTGCGAGGACTTACCCAGCGAAGAGCATCAGAAGACGCTAGCAAGGCAGTGGAAATTTTAGCATTTTTTTCAGGTAAAAATTATTGTAGCTAATGATTTCTGCCTGTGTGTTTGTGAGCGTTGTGTAAGCTCATAGGGATTGAAGATACAGGGATAGAATGTACCAGAAGAACTGGTGCATGTGGGCATGCATTTTTGATGTAAGACTATAACAAATTTAAGACTATTTAATAGGTCAATTTCCTATCATTCATCGTGTTTTAAAATTTCAGCCAAGCACTTGAAGTTTCGTTTGTAGCTGCAGAATAGCTGATAAGGTTATCCTCCTTGAGGAGAGGACGTAAGAATGAGAATAACTTGAAGCTTCAATTGTTTACTGTGACCAAATTTGCAAACTAAAACCGATTCATTTATGAAATGTATAGTTTCATGTTTTGTAAAATGCGCAGTCCTTCTCAGAAGATGATCTTTTAATATGTGGGAAAAAATAATATTTATTGTCAAAGGGAAAGCAAAAATTAAAATCTGCAGGATTTTCAAACTCAGTGTGTTTTATTCTCAGTTAAACAAAATGTATTTTTTAAAAAAATGAAGGTACATGGTACAAGAGCTTTTGGACGTTAATTATAAAAAATAATAATAAAATCACACATGAAGAACTGTAGTTTTACTTAATAACCACAATTTCACTGTTAAGAACTGGCAAGCTATTCCAGCAGTCTATTTTTGAAATAATTTCCCTTCGCTTCTGCAGCTGTTTTTCCTGAACATGCATTTTAAGGCAGTGAGGAAGAGGGAGTGAAGTTATTCATGAGTCTCATTTGACAATTGATTGGCGGAGGAGGCTTGGAAAGAGAGTTGTAGAGAGGGGGAGAGAGAATAATAACAGGTTTAACTTTGAAAAGCCTTTAAAGCTTCTGTACAACCACTCATTGTGAGCTGAGAGTAAATCAGTTAAGGTAGAAATACCTGCCAACGACTTCCTGTAGGATTGCCATAGCGCTGGAGAGTGACATGGGTTTTGGGAAGAGGCTTACGATTTTAATAATGGAGCTGTCAGTTTGATACCCGAACAGCTGACCCTGAGAGCTTTATTGCCAAATTTAGATTTTGTATTAATTTTGAATTATTACTGCTTCCACTTTTTTTTTCTTTTTTAACCAACGATGAATGCTGTAGGCTTCTGCTGTGTGTAACAACCATGTCTGAGTGCTAAAAACCTACAATACCTTTGTTAGTTCTTGGTGGGTTTTTTTTTTTTTCTTTGACTTTTCATCTTTCAAAAAAAAGTGTAGAGGAGGAGATACCTGATGTCCCTGTGATCTATACATACCAATAGGTCCTTATCTGCCAAGTGCCTTTGAGCATTTCTGGGAAGAGACCCTTGCCCTCCCTGGCTGCACCTTTGGAGCACTCCGGGCTGCGCAGGAGGTGCTGGGCTGGGGAGCACCTTGTGTTAAGCCTGTTTTCTACCCAGAACGTTTAGATCGGAGCTGTCTTTGTTTACCTTGACTCGGTTCTGCAGTTATCTGATACGGTTGATTCGGTGCATCTCCTCAGCTGGAGCATGCGTAGCTCAGCTCTTGAGCTTCTTGTTTTGGTTTGTTTATCAAAGGAAATGAAATGACTTCAGTATCTTTGTGTTTGCCTGTGTGTGTCTGTGTGTGATATCTTGACCTTTCAGGCCACCAAGTGTTGTTACTTTAGTTTCTGTCTGGAAGAATGTCTGAGCAAGGTAAATTGAACCAGGAGACAGCGGAGGAAGCTGTGAAAGATCAGGAGGCTGCCATCTCCGAAGCGACCTCAGACAACTGTATCCTCAATAAATCTGAAAGCTCAGAAGTAGAGGAAAAGGAGGAGAAGCTGGGCGATGCCAAGACAGAGTCGCAGGTAAGATGGGAATGGGGACAGCTGCTTTAAATGTCAATGTGATACTATTACCTTTCTGTTTCTGTGATCCTTTCCACTTGGCTGAATTTCCTATAGTCCTCTCTAATAATTTGAAAATATTTTTCTCCCTATAAAATAATATTTTTTCATTTACTTTTCAAGTTATTTAGACTGCAATTCAGATTATTAATTTTCCCGAGAAGTAAATTCCTAGACATCTGTGCTAAAACTTGGTGAAATATTTGGCTCTTTTTCCATTTGGAGGATTTATAAAACTACCTTGATCTCATGAATTTACAGGTAATATATCAATGAATAAATATGCAATGAGTTTTTTGGTTTATAGATGTCATATTGCCAATAAAAAGTCACTATGCAAAGCTTAACAATGCAATTGGATAATAAGATTTCTTTGATTTCTACATTCTGTAGTCTATGCTTTGTACAAACAAGATACTTCGTTTTTCTTGCTTTCCAAACTGAATTTGGGAAAGTTATTTTTCTTTCAGTCAGCACATGATAAAACTTCAGGAGTGATTTAATGTCTCTATTTCTCGTTAATGTTCTTGCAATGCAATTTTTTCACTGAAACGTTAAACGTCTTGTCCTTTTTCTGTACCCAGAAGCGAGGTGCAAACCAGCAGAGGAGGAAATCTAAGGTAAGGATCTTTATGTTGAACTGCCCTGCTTGAATAAGGAACCCCATTCAGTTGTCTGTTTTTTTGCAGTTGAAATGATGGCCTTTCGTCAGCGTGGGTGGTGTGTGTGTGGGTGGTGTGTGTGTGTGTTCCATAATTTTGTCGCAAAAAGGCAGAGAAGTGCTTCTGCATATGATGCATCTCCCTTCCCTTTATTTATCTGTCATACTTTTATGCTAGTGGTCTTGCTATGTACTTACAAGGGTAGACAGCCTATATGCTTGTATGTGCCACTTAATATTTTTCTTTGAATTTTTTTATAAATGAAATAATCTAACTTCAAGGAACAGAATCTACCTAGCTCTCTTTCTTCCAGTCACCTTTTCTTGCCCTAGGGAAAAAAAACACACTTTGGAGTATTCAAAGGGCAGACCCATTAAGCTTACACATACAGGTCTGTTGCTTTTGGATACCACCAAGTCCCTCCCCCCAGGAAAAAAAGTGGTTTTAACTTCATGTTATATTAGCGTTGGTGCTGCATTACCCGTTTTTTGCTTCTATCATTTTTTTTTTCTGGTGAAAGTAATGAATAAAAACATTTAAAAGCAAAAAGAAACCTACTACCTTTTCTATGTGGCAAATGGTGCAATGCTGTGAATAATTTTCAGTCTGCATCCAAGACAGATATGCTTTTGCTAGCTGAATACAGAGGTGGTTATTTCCAGTGTTTAGAGGTAGTGTTGTTGAGACTTGGAGTCAGTAGTATTTCTCTTTTGTTTTGTTTTCTTTCTCTCTTATTCAGTCAGGAGCTAAAGGAAAGCTTGTCCGGAGTCTTGCTGTGTGTGAAGAGTCATCCCCTCGCCCAGGGGCAGAAGTTGTTCATGATAACCAGGTACATTTACGGTCATTGGTATTAGCTGCATGATTGCCCTCAGTGTTCAGTTGCATGATCATGTTACTTAATTGGGCACTTGACAATATCTTTTTTGGGGGAACCATTACATCTGGCAATGCACATGTTTTTATGAAGTTATCTGGCTTAGCGTGAACTTTATTTTGCAATATCGTAGTAGTTGTACAGTATGTCACAGGGTATTGTTTGCTTTTTTTTCCAGACCCCCTGAAAATTTCAACATATGGAAAAGAATTCAAAAGAATTCGCATTTTAAAATTTAAAAAATAGTAACAAAAATGTTATTTTCTGTAAGGCTATCTCTTTTGAGACTACACCAGATAAGGTTCTGAATACACTCTGGTTTCTGGTTCCTCTGAACCACAGTTTATATCAAATACCTTATATAAAATATGCAGGTCCTTCACACTGTAAACTAACTTGGTAGAGCAAAGGGGGCCTTGTGCTGAGTGCAATTCATTTTTTAAACATTTGGTGTAGACTTTTCAGTATAGAAAAGCATGTGTATGAATATCTGTACTGAGAGTGTTGTATTCCCAGCAATGGGTAGTTTTGTGCCACCTTTCCCCACCACATCGCCCTAGAATTTTAGCACTGGTGATAGTCTTGTTGACTCACCCCAAAAATAAGCAAAAAAGCAGAATTAAAAGCATGCTTTTTTGCTTGCCTGGTAAAAGACTTCAAAGATCAAAACCAAAAAGACATGAGCACTGCCTATAATTTCTAAGACGTGTATCTGCAAATGAGATCAGCCATAGAGAGAGAGTTTAAGCAAATGATTTCTGTGAGCTTAGCACAAACACACAAACAAATCTCATTTAAGTGTACTTTCTCACAGTTTCTTCTGTTGACTTGACATGAAACAAATTCAACTCTCCTCTTGGCTTATAAGTATGGAGAGTTTTTTATTTCTTATTATTTTTTTTTTTTTTCCTTTTTGAAAGACAAAAACAAGGTTGTTTAGCAGGGGGACTTCTACATGTTCTACTGCTCTACAATGATGCTTATGCAGTAGATAGGCAGGTTGTTTATCAGTTGTTCTGTTGTAGGTATATGCTTTTAGCTTGACTTGCGTTACTCAAGATGCGTGGCCTTTGTTCTGCTTTTATTTGTATTTTTCTGTTGTTTAATGGAGAATGAAAAGGAGAATAATATAAATGTGAAGAGATTGTATTAAACATCGCATGGTAGTTTATAATGTATTGCACAGGACATGTATTAAATGTCACTGACTGGCAGATTTTGAGGTAAAATTCCTCCCCAAATCGCACCCTGATGCCAGACAGAGGAGGGCTTCCTTTTGCACACAGCCCCTGGTCATCCCCAGTTTTGATGACAAATGTTTCTTTGACCATTTTCAAATATTCCTGGGAGATGAAATGCGTCCCTGGACCCCAGCGTGTGTCTCCTAAAGTCAATTGGCTTGGTGTAATGAGTTGGAGAGGAGTTGCGTCTTGCTCTCGCTCACCTTCCCGGTGAGCGCAGCTCAGCTTTGCAATGGGAAGCTGGACCTGCACTCTCCTCTTTGGACTGGCTGAAGGATACAGGAAGCGATATGCCAATCGAAACCCTTTTTGATTGCTTTTTAGAGAAGAGAAAGCCTATTTTCCATTTGGATATTTTTTATTACTATTATTTTAATGGTTAACAAGCACAGAGAATTAATTACCAGAGAATGTACGGTACATTGCCAGAACTACAAAGTATGGATTGTACTGCAAACTTGATATTTGTATTTGAATACTTGCCTTCATTTTCCTGTGTAGGAAAAAAAAAAAAACAAAAACAAAAAAACTTGCTTACCTGTATTACTTGATCTTGAACGCTTACCTGATGGTTTACTATGTCCTTACTTAAAAGGAGTGTTGCCTTTAATGTTCTACTATTGACCTACAAGTGTACTATTGCAACTTGAACATTTATTTTGTTGTTCACTATACTTACCTTGTATCAATGTATTTATTAACACTGTATTTTATTATTGAGAAAAATCAATAAAAATATAACAAAATATACCATAGATTGCTTTCACGACTCTACAGCCCTTTTGTTTTTCTTCTAGTGCAAGCAAATATATTACTGTTATATGTAAACTAGTAGATACTGTACGTTCATATGTGTGCTTATACGTAAAGTCTGTCATTTTTCTTTTCATTTAAATAAGTGCATTTTAACAGCCACTTTAAAGCTTAGAATTAATGTCCTGAGAATGGAACAGCCAGTTACATTTTTCTCCTCTCTTTTGAAAAGCTAATGGCACAGTCGCTCTACTTTGGGCAGTGCAGGGAATCCAGAGTTATCCTTTGTGGCCCTTTGGCAGTGATTCACCCAGAATTTGTCATTTGAATGAGAAACTGAATGGCCATTTCAAGTGAAAGAAAGCAGGCATATGTTATGTTAGTCCTTTGAGCCCTCAGGGCAGGTTTAGCGAACATTTTTCTATGTATCCTTATCTCAACTGACCAGGAATTAAAAAACTTTCCCTGAGTACACTCAGTTTTCAGCTAATATTTTCATCCACAGCTAGCAGAAGTAGGGATTAAGGACAGTAGTTCAGATTAATATTTTGGCTGTAAGGCTTCATTTCTCGCTTACAGTGCCTTTTATCTCTGCTGTATATAGTCTACTACATTTGAGTTTGATAAAAGAGTAGATAATGACTAAGCTGAGCAATTTTTCAATTTCTGTCTTCCTGTGGCACGTTTATGCTGATAAGATTGTTCTGTTAGGGTTTTGTCTTCAGTGTGTTGTGGTGGCTGATCTGTAGTAAAGAAAAAAAATCTAAAATTTGTAATAATTATGAAGACGTCAATTGAAATCAGAATGGTCTGGTTTCATAAAGCCCGTCTTAGTTTAAAGTTCTGTGTTTCTTGTATTAGTATTCTTTGGAAAAATATGATGGAAGAGAATTTATTAGCATTCAAGGAATTCTGATTTTCTCCAGTATTGGCAAATTTGAATTGCATTTGCATGATGGCTGAAATTTATCAGGTATGCAGGACTCTCGTATATTAAAGAATTGTATTACTGGGGAGTCTTGCAACACCTTAAATCAAATATGCATTTTTACCCATTTAAACATAGTATTGTTTTGGCCATTTTTCTTCAAAGGAATACGAATACTGTAATGTGTCTCAAGTTGGTACAATGAAATTCCTTCTTTTGAAGTTTTAATGGTATTCCTGTATTTCAAGAAATACTAATTTGTGTTGTGTTGAAACAAAAGAAATAAAGTTTTATTATAACTGGGGAATAACAAGTTACTAAAAGCAAATCTGAAAATGCAAGCCAGCACAAATTCTCATTTTTAGTTATTTTTTTCTTCTTAAACTAAAGCATGTTTTCCAAGAGATTCACAGTCTCTGAAAAACAAAAGTTTTGAAGATAAAGTTTATGAAGTCTTAGAGAAGTTTACTTAGTAAACTTCATTTGAAATTGCACTGCACATTTTCCCCCTTCTATAAACAAGTATCTTGAAATATAAAGGACCTGGTAACTTAAGCAGTCTGTATACCACGGAGTTTATTATCCTGGTACTCTGGTACTATCTGAGCCTGGAAGCTCGGTCTAAATGATACTCCATCTGTGTGTACAGAACACACAGATGTATGCTTTTCCCTCATTTTAGTGGTGGTGAAAAATGTTACACTTTTTAGAACCCTATCCATTGATTGCTGTTCAATTCCTTTAATGTTATTTAAATTATAGAATTTTTTAAGGAAGCTCGTATAAAACATAGTTCACTCTTCTAACAGCTCTAGAGTGAGACTGTCCTGGAAAAAAAATCATACAGGAAAGAAATGTATCTGGCTTCAGCTTTTCTAGCTATATATGGTATAATGCAAATCTCTGCAGGTTGGAAGCCATGAAAAGTTCTCTGAATCTGGCCCTAAATTTATGCTTTTTTTTCCCCCCTCACCCTCAACAGGAATCCATACAGCTACAGCTCTCCAGTTTTCCTAGCTTACAAGAAGAAGATAAATCTAGTAAAGATGACTCCGAGAAAGAAAAGGAAAAGGACAAAAATAAAGATAAAAACAGTGAAAAAAACAAGATCAGAATGTTATCAAAAGGTGAACTTGAAAATATTTAAATTGCTGTAGTTATTTTAATAGGGGATTGTGTGTGTGTGTGTGTGTGTATTTTTATTCGCATCTATTTCTTTATTTGTGTTTAAGTATACAGTGAAAGTGTTTTTATGTTTTGAAAAATTCAGAACGTAAAATGTGTATATGTGAGAGAGTTTTTCATGCAAGAGCTGGGCTTTGAACGAGAAAACCCTTCCAAACAGAAGTTTGGTGTGATGTTTATATTTTTTTCCACTTAATATATTCAAGTGTTTAATGTGAACATATACGTATGCATGGTTATATAAAAGAAAAGTGTGAGTTACAATACCCTCTTTTTTTTTTTTTTTCTTTTTTCTTTTCTGTTAATGCTGATATAGTGGCATGGCGTTTTTGCAACACAAAGAGCAATGTTCTTCAATACAGTTCCTCTCGTACAGAGAAGCTCTTTAACGCTATAGGGAAATCCACCCTGACCTTTAGCCTGTAATCTGCTATTAGAGGTCTCCATCACTATTACGCTTACGATTTCTCCATCTGAACTGTTGGCTTTGTGGTAGACAATGGTACAGAGTTACAGCATAATCTCTTAAAAATGATCATTGCCTACCTGGATGCAGATCCACTGCTGGTGTGAATTGTCAGTTGGCTTCAATGGGGCTATCACGGTTCATCCCAGCTGCAGGATCTGCATCTACTTTTGAGTCAGGCTCTATCCTAATGCTGAAAAATTAATTCCGACTACTGTCACGCACCGCTATTACCTGCCCACTCTGAGGCGTCATTGGATTTTAGTCTGTTAATGCAAATAGAATTCCCACCGGCAAGATGTCTCATTCTCCACTTATGCAGTACAAATTAAGTGATTCAAAGGTGTACTGATTGATAGACCTTTTATTTTTTTTTATTTTTTTAATGGAGTAGTTAAAAGGATGAACTTAGGAGGTACTTGACTAAATTTAAGTGTTCTATATGATTTTGGAATGACCAGCACTTTTGTCATTATCTAGATTCAGTGGTGTGTTCTCACCACAACAGTACCAAGGAAACTGGAGCATCCACCTGGTATTTCCTGGAATAGATTTTTTTTTTTTTCCTTCCTAAGTTCCAAATGAATGTTTTCTTTTTAGAACCCAAATGAATGTTTTCTTTTTAGAACGTATGCTTATAGATTGTTACTGGAAAATGGAATCTGATTTTTAGTATAGCTTAAAATTTACTGTTGAAATGAAATAAATGAGTGGGAGATGTTTGTTTTGTTTTTGCAGATTGCAGTCAAGAGTATACAGACTCAACAGGCATAGATTTGCATGAGTTTCTGATTAACACATTAAAGAATAACCCCAGGTAGGTATTTTCTGCATTATTAGCTGGCGCTCCTGAAATCCTGAAACAGTCTCAGGATTCTAGTTTTATTAATTCTGGAGGTTGTTACGAGGAAAATGTAAAGGAGGTGGGATTGTTGATGAGCAGAAAGCTATCAAAAGTTATCTATTCCAATTCCCTTTTCACGTACCCATTGATTAATTTCGATTTTAGCGACATCTGGTCTGTGTCCTTCTTTACCTTCTTTGCATATAGCATTTAGATGATTTTAGCAATAATGTATTATAAACATTGCACTTGAGAATTTGTCTAAGAATATAAAGCAATTGCTTTTGGCAGCATTGTACACAATTAAGATCCTATACACAGTGCCAAATTCACCTTTTGATATTCCCATAGTTTTCATTTGGAGCACTAAGCTCATCTCAATGTTAAATTTGTCTCTAAATGCCAAAGGAAGGGTCTTCAGTGTTTTATTGTTTTGCTTTAAATGTTTTTTTTTTTATTTTTCTATTGAATGTTAAATATATGCCACATAATTCTGCAATTATGGGGAAAAAAAGGAATAATTATGTATATAACAGCTTGCATAACCTTTTGTATTGATGACAGAATGTCCCTGAATTATCCACATGAAATGAAAAAGTTGAAAAAAGCTATGGAGTGATGGACTCAGTCTTAGAAATAATGTGTGTGGGGGGATTACATTGGGGAAATTTTTGAATGTTTTCTGGCAGGAGGTGAAAAAAAAAAGAATATTTGAGAACTTTCAAACGGAGCATTTTGATGGAAAAATGCTGCAGCATTGCCTCTCGGGAGTCATAGTTCAAAGACATTGTTCACTATGGACTGTCTGACTAGATTAGATGTGCTCAGGCTCCTTATTTGCAGATCGATGCATAGTGAAAGATACATTTCAGACAAATGTTGCAAATTTCTTGGGACAGAAGACCTCATGAAAGAGCTTCCTTCACCGAAAATCTCATTTTCTATGAAAAAAATGATGAAGAAGCACTAAAACTCTCCCTGACTATTAGTCTTTCTATGCAAGACATTGATTGCAGTTGTGTGTGGGTGGAAGTGCTCTCAAACCATACCTTTATGTGAGGAAGAACTAAATCTGTCACTTAGTGAAAGCACAGAAAAGCAGCCTGGAATCTTCTCCAGATGTGCCAGTGCAAAACACACTTCATTTTTCATCAAGATAGCTGACAGTATTTCTAAATTTGTCTAACAAATATTGATACATATGTTTCTTTAATCTAAAATGGCTGTTGGTAGTTGGTGCTACAAATGCTTGCCTTTGTTTTTGACAGGGACAGAATGATACTCTTGAAAATGGAACAGGAAATTATTGACTTTATTAGTGACAACAAGTAAGTTGGGTTCTGCACTTGATTAGGTCATGTATGTGTATTGTACTGCAAGCTGCATGAAGGAGGTGCTCTTGTGAACCACAGTGCTAGTGAATGCTGTTACTAGCACATTGCATGATCAGGCTTTTATCTCCTGACCCATAGTGGTACTGTTTAAAGTACAGTAAATATAGAAGAAACCTTTGCTTTGTGTTATGTTGCAATTTTTCAGCGTCTTCCAGTGGCTCTATTCAGTCTCAAAAATATTAGTAAATCTTTCAGCGTAGATGATGCAACTTGGTGATCTCTTAAGTGAAGATGCACAATCAAATGTGATATGATAGAGTTTTGCCTGTTTGCTGCATTATTGCAATGTGTTCAGAACTAAAATTGAGGTTATGTGAAAGGGGTCTTTCCTACTGCGTGCTCTTTTTAATAAAATGTTTTTGCAGGTTTAAAAAATAGTCAGAGTTGCAGGAGGGGAAGAAGGGAGGCTGACATGAAGTAAACATTTTCTGAGTAAGGGCGGGGGGCGAGTAAGAGGAGAAAAAAAAAAAAAAAGTATTTGCCAAACCCACCCAGCATCAGCCTGTAGCTGAACTTTGAGAGAAAGGCAGAAAGGAGTCAGCAGCCTCTCAGCTCTTTGTGTTGCGTTGCTGTTTGTACAGAGCATGGCAGTGGGTGGGCGAGTTCTTCCCGGTATATGAAACACTGAGTTGCTATGATGTAGCATGAGCTTCGTTTGTCCAAATGTAGTGCATGGAAATGTGATTATAATAAACTGTGAATGTAATTGCTTTCTATTGCCTGCCTTGCCCTAGCAAACATTTATGTCTAAATGCGCAAAGTAGAAAATTTCAGTTAAATTACTGTCTCCTGAATTGTAAAAGGTATTGCTATTGTCATTTAACTGTAGCTCTGAGGGAAATGTAATCATCAGTGCAATTTGTTTTCTTTTTTCTAGTAATCACTATAAAAAGTTCCCTCAGATGTCATCATATCAGAGGATGTTAGTGCACAGAGTGGCAGCATACTTTGGAATGGATCACAATGTGGATCAAACTGGAAAATCTGTAATTATCAACAAGACCAGCAATACAAGAATGTAAGTAGCAACCCTCTTGTGTTTTCCTTGCTCCTTTTTACAAGAGCCTGTTCCTACGTTGACTACCTCGCTGCCTTTTTTTTTTTTTTTTTGTGGACAGAGTACTGTTTATTGCTTTTGGGGGCAGGAGGGGAACTCAGGGATATTACTACAGTTACCCAGTTACCACTGTGAAGTTTATTCCTTGCAAGTGATTAATATACTGTCTTGGTACATCACTTTCCCTGGCTTCTAGTGCCGCCACTTCTGCTATAGAAATGAATTAATTGCTTTATGTGTTGCCTGATGCCAAACAGGTATATTTCTAAATAACTCAAGCATATTGTGAAGTGTCTTCTCTCTAATTGGCCCTCTCTGCTTTCAGATTCATTTTCTGTCCAATCTGGTCGTTTGGCATTTGGACCGCTGCTACCACCTCACACCATTGGTTCCCTTTTTCCCTCTCCGCTCCTGGTTCTAGTTCTTTTTTTTTTTTTTTTTCCCCTCAATCTTTCACTAGGATCACAGATTTCTTATGGCATATATGTTTCTTTGGGTGTTTTGAATGAACTGAAAAAATTGTGGCAGGTTAAATTAATACCGACATGTTTCATGTTCTCCTCCATGAGCACGTACATGTAAGACTAGGAGACACTCCGTATGAAGCACCTTGGCTGCTTTAGGAGGGACACAGTTGTGTACCCAGGCCTAAGTAGCATCACACTTGTTCTGCCAAGTGCCACTAGAACCATATCTCCCTCTTTACCAATAAACTGTATAATGAAGAGGAAACAATTATAGCTGGGTAATGAAGTTTTGGTATCTGGTCCTGGAACAGAAAAACCCCTTCTGGAAATGGTGCACTTCCTGTATTTAATTAGTAGGAGAAATAAAAACATGAATTGCATTTACATATTCAATAACGAAGGTGATATGCTTTGACTCAGTTGCAGAGCGTTTTTTTTTTTTTTTTAATCTATTTGTTCTTGTTGTAAAAGGCTCAGGTCTTGATCTTGCTCGATCGAGTAGTGCCTGTACACTGGCACAGTGGTGTTTTTTCATTTCTGAGCTCTAAACATTTTCCATGTACGCAAAACAAATTTTTGAGCACAGACAAATGTTTTCAGATCTTTTTCGTAGGCTTTTGCTGAAATATGCAGGCATCCGTAACTTGAAAACATCAGTGCTTTAAAGGTTTGAATAAAGCATGCCCTTACGGTCTGATTTTGAGAAGTCAAGAGAATTACAGTAGCTCAGTAAAACTAAAAATCAAGATGCCAAGGTATAGCCTCAGGATCTGACAGTACCTGCTGCTGCGCAAGGACTTTGGATATACATGAGAGGGAGAAAGCTGGATATGTAGCAAACCAGCGTTCACTTTTGAGCTGAAATGGGAATAGTTTGTAGTCATCTCTTGAACAACGCACAGTTAACTAAATGCAATGTTTTTTAGCCATTTCCCTCCTTCGTCTCTTTTTCCTTCACATCTATTACCTCCATAGTGAAAAAAAACACCACAAATCTTTCTTCACAGCATTGCGTTCCTCTGGTTAACTCTGATAATGTGATTATATCACATTAATATCTGTAAATACATTGGCGTGTGTTGCTGTATGTCTCGCAGATGGTAGCATTGAAATTGCCATTGGAAATCACTTTCAGATTTCCCCTTCAACAGTCAAAAGTTTGACTTTTTTCACTGAGTGCTCTGCTGAAGCTGTAGCTTTTTGCATGGTGGGAGGAGCAAACAGGTTGGTTGAGAGGCCCCGAGTGGCATCTCAGTGGAAAGGGCACAGCAGGGGAAGGAAGACCTGATGACCCTTCTGGTTCTGGAGGTGGTGTCGCAAGCTGGAGGTGAGGCACACAGCTAGACAAATTTGTTCTGACACTGTTCATGTGCAGATGTTCCAGAAATAAACACAGAGCTTTTGCCTTCAATTTACTGAGTAAATCCATTTTTATGCAATGTATAAGCTGCATTTTTTCCTCTTCTGCAGTGATTTAATGGTAGATAACCAAATCATATTGAGATTGCATTGCATCATGGTGTTTCCAGTATACTTGCAATATTTTGATGCTGCACTAAAATAAAGCTTTGTAGAAATAGCTCTTTTTCCACAATTGGAGATAACTTTTTTCCTCTAAATGTCCTAAGCTCTGACAGAAAATAGGGATTATTATCCATGAATGAAGGTTGATGAGAATTTATTATCCGCAGAGAATATTGCTAAAATCCAAATCTGAAAGGGTCCAGTGTGATTTCAAGTGTTCAGTGTTCCAGTATTCTCAGAGGAGTGCAGTTCAAAATCAACACCAAGTACAGGCAATGTGTTGACTCTCTTAATTACCATTTGGAAAGCGTCCAGAGTCCTGGAGGATGGGATAGTGCCTGTTCAACATGGCTATACTGTCCAGTAAGTCTGAGTCTTGATTGTTGTATGCCCCAGAGGGCGTAAAGTCTATTGGAGGGCCCCAGACACAGCTCTTGTGGAGAAAGTTTTTGTTATGACAGTGCATTATCTCCATATCACGTATGGCTTCCAAAGCACTTTAGCCGCACGCACTGGAGAGGGAAGAGATGTGCTCGAGTTCTTGAAGAACTAATAAATTATGCACTGCCTGTGCCTCTTCCGCATGCTAGCGTGTGTGCATGTGCATTCACGTGTGCTTGGGAAGAGCATATGACTCTTCAGAGTCATTGTGTGGGCTTAAATAAGCAGTGTGGCTTATTCCTCTGGTAGAGGGAGGGTTTGTGTCACTTCTTGGCTCATGCTTGCAGGCGATGAGTTGTTTTCTCCCTCCAGGCAATGAGGTGAATTTATTCTGTTCAGCACAGACTTTTCATTCTCATTGCCTGCAGGTGCTTGGGGGCACGAGTGTCAGAAGAGTTAATGGCTGTGAGATGGATGGGAGGGTTGGCAGAAGATTGTAAGAATGCAATCCTAGGGGTGCTACAGCACAGAGTAGAGTCCATCAAACTGGGAATGGGGATATGAATGGAGTAGATGGGGGCATTTCATTTCTTTCATTGGTTGGCCTCCTCGAGGGCAACATATGTCTGTTTTTATGTCGCTGTGCCTCTGAAGTATCTGCTTAAGGGTTTGAAATTGGAGAAAGTGCTTATTGGAGAAATTGCAGTTGGAAGGAGAGCTGTGATTTTTGTGTAGCCAACTGTGTGGTTTTATGGAAAGAGGAAAATGATGGAGGCAGGGCTGGATTCTCTCTTGAGCTTTAGTGACCTCTCTGAAACCTATCTTAAAAATGCAGTTACACAATAATGATCATTTTGCAATCTGAATACTATTTATAAGGTGGATTTTGTTATTGTTGGAATAACTTGTACTGTTTATAAACCTTTTTTTGAAAATGGATGACTAAAGCACAGAGATGTCTTCAAATAGCTGGATGTTGTCTCAACCTTCATAATAAGTGTGTACTCTAGTTCTCATTGAGGAATAGTGGATTTTAAAAATAACTTTATCTTTCAATATGATATTTTGAATTACGAGTAGTTTTATTGTTTTTTGTTTTGTTTTTGTTCTTTTAGAAAAACAACCATTTCCCAAAAGATGTAATTTTTCCTGGTCCCATACATTTTTTTTCTTTAATCATTGTAAAAGCTCAAAATTCTACTAGAGATGGGACATCTACTTTGTTCAATATGAAATTGCTTTTGTGTTATCATTGTATATATATTTGTGCCTCATCTGTGTCTGCCTGTCATCTAAAGATACATGAAAAATGTATAGGGAATATAATTCAGTGAAATATGATAGGAACAGAAGTTTGAAATGGAGGCAGTATGTTAGGGACCATTCCAAATTAGAGCCCCCCCCCCCCCCAAAAAAAAACACTTGTACATATCACTTTTTATTCCATATGCACCTTAACTTAAAAAACAAAACAAAACAAAAAAAGCTAGAAGCATTTTAGGGCTTCTTTCAGAATTTGTTCATATATTTATCAGTTCAAGCAGGTTTGTGCAGCTTATTATTTGTACGTATGTGGAGCAATGCAGAGGAAACCAGTTGAAGTGCTTGATAAATGGAAAGGTTTTCCATTTGGTTAGGGATGTTGTACATGCCATGTATGTCTTTACCCACACTTACATTCACATATATCTTTACGTAAGCATGAGTGGCAGGTTGAATCAGAATTGAGAAGATGAAATGTTTATGACCTATAATTGAGGTGTAACACATTTGCAATGAATTTTATACCACTACTCATCCCTTCAATTATGACTCCTTGGGATGCCAAAAGTTATGGCTCCTGGAGCCTGCAGAAAAGTGTGTCATTATGCCATTCCCCTTGATTGAACACGGTATTCATGAGTACTCAGCCTAAAAGACCTTTATTTATTTTTTAAGCAGTTGTTTGCCGATGGGGAAGGTAGGGTATTTTCCATGCACAATTGGTAACGGTCTTTTTTAGTCAGGTATATGGTAGTAATTACAACCATGTACCAGAATGTGTATATGTTGTTTATTGTACGGACTCAGGTCCACCCTTGCCAGAGAGCCTAAGGCCCATACGTATTTTATTCCCTTTGGAATACAGCATAATTATCTAGCAAATGGTGTGCTGTATTGTGTTGCATTTGCATTCAAAAACCTTATGTTCTCCATGACTGTTATGGACTTGCACAGACTAATGATTTTGTGAGAGTAGACCCAATGTTATGAGATACATGATACAGGAAAACGTGTGTGAAGGTGTGTGTTTTTGTTGTTGTTTTTCGAGCTTTCTTTTTTTCTTTAAGGAGTTATAAGGCTGGGTTTATTCCTCCTTTCCTTTTGCAAAGTTCTTTCCTATGCCCACTACAATTCCTCTGTGATTACTAAGAAATAAGCAAAAAAGTGTGTGTGTGTGTATATATATATATGTTTTCTGTCTGTTTTATAATTGCTGTTGCTCAATCAGAACTCCAGTGTCAGACCTTATCAATGTACACAGAAATATAAGGGCATATAGTAGATACATGCTGTTAAAGTGGGAAAACTTATAACTGAGAAATAATA